TGACGGATCTATACCCGGCATCTCGTACGGAGTCCACGCAAAGACATCGAGGTTGCTGAGCAGGAAAGATATTAGCTGCTGTCTGTCGGCCTAACTCAAAGAGGCGCCGACCATGAAGAACTTGTCTAGGCTTCCATCGATTTCAACTCGGTCTAAGCCTTCCGTGGCCTTTTCATTTGGGAGCCACCCAACATCGTCGAGGCTCTCTCGATCCGGCACCTCAATGGAATTCACCTGTAGCTCCTTTGGCATTTTTTTGGCAAGGAGGTAACATGCTTGTGCCGATTTCTAGGAGCCACGGATTTGCTCAATGCCGCATTCTGTCGGGAAGCATAGCAGCTGATGATAGGTGCTTGGCACGGCCTGCATAGTATGCAACCAAGATCGCCCCATGATGAGATTATACGGCGACGGCAGCTTGACGACCAAGAACTCCATGGCCACCGTTCGGGAGCCCACTCGAACGGGTAGTGTAATTTTCCCCAACGGATATTATGGATTGGTGTTGAAGCCGAATAGAGGGTAAGGAGCTAGGGAAAGGTTCGATTCAGAGAAGCCGAGGTTGATGAATGTCTTGTAATACATGACTTCCGATATGCTCCCTGGGTCAATGAGTACGCGCTCAACAGTGAACCGGTTTACACGTAACTCAATTACCAAGGGATCAGTGTGGGGCAATGTTACTCTGGCCAAATCTGAATCATCAAAAGTAATGCTCCCAGCTGGAGTGAGTTGATTTTGAGGGTCGGGATTTGACTGAATGGTATGCACCGCGGATGAAATTGGCAGGCTGTATATCATGTGGATCACGCCGAGTGGAGGGGAATCCTGTTTTAAGGCTATTGCTTTCGTTGAGCTGCCTTTTCGGACGTGCTGCTGTAGCCGACCATCCTGTACTAATTCCTCCAGGTGATCCTTCAAGGCATAAAAACTCTTAGTATCATGGCCATGATCTTTGTGATACTCGCGCCGCCTATCCCATCTTCGCGTGTCGGGAGGTCCCATCATTTTTGACGGCCATTTGAAGAATGGAAGATGTTGGATTTTGGACATGACCATGCTAATTGGCTCTGACAACTCAATATATTTCTTGTCGGCGCGCCTTGTGCGCCTGCTATCGACTTGCAGCTGTTCACTTGCTCGGTGGGAGCATTGATCGCTTGATCGGCGAGAATCCCGTCTCTTATCTCGTTTTGCCTGATGCTGTGGTTCAGGGCTCTGAGGTGCTACAGAGTTTAACGGATGAGCAATTTCAACAGGAGCTGTCTTGTTGGGCAAATTTCTGGCTTTAACCCGCAAGGCATCATCTTCCACCTTACAGTATTCTTTAACTTTCTTCATCAACGACCAAACTATTTTGGGGGGCCGTCTGGTCAATAAGCTGCGGAGGGCACTGTCGAGATGTAGTCCCATCTTGAAGGCGATGATGGCCATAGAGTCATTGTAAGCATCGTCTACTAGATTAAAACATTCCCAGTACCGCGCCGAATACGTGCGAAGGGTTTCCCCTGTTGAATCTGCATTGCCCAGAGGGAATCGACTTGCTTTGGCTGGGCCTTATTGGTGATAAACCTCACCCTGAAGGATTTTTGGAGTTGGTGGAAGCCTTTAATCGAGGCCGGCTTCAGTTTATAATACCACCTGATAGGTAGTGGTCCCAAACTGCTCGGAAATATTCTGCACATAAGAGCCTCATCATCTGCATACAGCGTCATGGCTTGCTTATAATGGCGGATGTGATCGGTGGGGTCTGATTTACCGTCCTACAAGGTGAATGATGGTGCTTTGAATTTCTTGGGAAGCACTGCCTTTGCAATCTGTCGTACAAAGGGATTGTGCTGGTCTTCTTCATCTGAACTGTTTCTTCTTCGCTTATGCCTTATACGGGGACTTTCTTCAGAAGAACTGGTAGTTTCAGGTGGCCCCTTTTTCTTGGGCTTCGGGGATAATGAGTCGGAGTCACTTTCAGTGTAGTCTTGTCGAGCTCGGGGTCGTAGACCAGCTGCCCTCGGAGGTCGCTCGGGATCTAGGCGTACAGCTTGTTTGGACTTCGCCACCTCCAAGGCCAGATCTTGACGGAGATGTTCGTTCTCAGCAATCATGTTCTCTAACCTCTGTTCATTTTTCTTTGCCTGTTCCATGATTGCCTGCATTGCCTCATGCTCCGAAGTTGAGGGTGAGGCAAAGTTCAAAGCGCGTCTTGCGGCGATGGTCTCCGGTCCAAGCATGGTTGTTGGAGTGAGGTCGTCTCTCTACGTGGTTTCATCGGTGACTATCGGAGGGTCTTCTGTTACGCCCGCCATGGATGTATTTGAGTATTCCCACAGATGACGCCAATTGTGGAGAAATGGTTTGGAAATACTCCTCTAATCCTGGGGGACGCTCGTGATTCTCTGCTAGTCACCTGAAAAGGAATAAACACTTCGGTCGGGGGTGCCGGAATTAGCACTCCGACGAGCAAGTCAGTCTCTACATTCAAGATTACTTGTATTCTAGGTTAAGCTTAATAGTTCTCACATACCTCTTCTTGGCTGATGTCCTTTTATTTATATCTTTTCTTTCTTGGGCCTCGGGATCGGGTTCACTTTTAATTCGCTATTCGGCTTCAACTGTAACAAATCGCTTTTCACTCGGCCCCTTGCTCGACCGGCTATTGGGCCGAATAGGATAGGGTTCGAGCGTCTAAGATGACGCCGAGTGCTATAAATTTCGACCTAGAGTTCGACATATTCGGCATCTCAGCGACTCCCAATATTCGGCCCTCAGAATTGCCACCCAAGCACTCCACTAATCGACAGTTGGCTGGAGTGTTTGGTTTCGGACTCGAAAAGTTAGCCAAAATTCGGCGGCTAACCTCATCCCAACGCGAATGTCTGAGCACACGCTTCTCGATTATCACTTCAACTTCTTTTATAACCTATAAATTCCAGCAATTTTTTTTTTTATATTCTTAAATTGCTAAATTACAAAAAAAATAACATCACTTTTCTTTTTAAAATCTTAGTTAGTTTTATTTTTACTTTGTGTTGTATGATAATATAATTATTCATTTTAAATAATAAGGTCTTAAGCATAAAATACTCATAACTTGAATGTTTCTCTAACAGTGATACGTGTTATGTATGTGAATATAAAATTCAACAATCATAATTTTTTTTACCTATGATTTTATTTAAATACATAAAATATATTTATTTAAATTAAGTTTTAAAAATTTTGATTATAAACATGTAATGTGTTTTTAATTTCGATTTAACAAAATATTAAATCATTCCAAACTCCCAAACTCCAAAACTCCAAAACTACTTTCAAAATACACAACCAAACAAACCAAAAAAATTTCTAAACTCTCTCCCCAAAACAATTTTTAAAAACTACTCTCCCAAAACCAAACCAAACATAATGTCTTGAAATATTTTCTCTTAAATAGTTAATGCATAAATTAATTGAGTAATAATTGGATTGGAGTGTTGTGTAAAATTATGTGCAAAAATGGTTCAATTTTGTAATAATTTTTTTATTTATTTTTAATTTTTTTTCACAACCAAAGCTAAATATACATTCAATTTTATTTTATTTTGTTTGGCTCAACAACAAAATCAAATACACATTAATTAACATTGTCACATTATTCTTATCAAATTTTATGTATATCTAGAATTTTTTAAATTTATTTTGGAAAAATTCAATCTTAACCAAAGCTAAATATACATTCAATTTTTTAATTTTTTTAAGATTCACAACCAAAGCTAAATATACATTCAATCTTATTTTATTTTATTTAACTCAACAACAAAATCAAATACACATTAATTAACATTATCACATTATTCTTGTCAAATTTTATGCATATCTAGAATTTTTTAAATTTATTTTGGAAAAATTCAATCTTAACCAAAGCTAAATATACATTCAATTTTTTAATTTTTTTAAGATTCACAACCAAACCTAAATATACATTCAATCTTATTTTATTTTATTTAACTCAACAGCAAAATCAAAAACACATTAATTAACATTATCACATTATTCTTATCAAATTTTATGTATATTTAGAATTTTTTAAATTTATTTAGAAAAATTCTATTCCTACAAAAAAATTCCGTCTTCTTTTTTATTTTATTTTTTTAATTTTATGTATCTCATTCTCCTCTCTATTATTTGATCTTCGATAATCTGAAGGTGAGTTATTACTCTCGTTTCCATCTTCTTCTTCTTCTTCTTTTAAAAATTTTTATTTACATTTATAAAATGAATTTTCTAGTTTCAACATCTCCTGCAATTATTTTATTGGATTTCTCTCTGATTTGATGGTAACCTTAGATTGAATTTCTCAATTTTCATCTTAATTAACAATCACCTTAATTAAAATTTTGTACATTTTTGTCTTCAATTTCCATGTTTTGGTTATGATTAATTGCGCGTTTTTAATCGATAGTCACAATCTTGTCACCGCTAGATTGTCGTCATCGCAAATCGCCGTTGCTGTAGTGAGAGGATGAGAGAGGGTGAGAATTATAACTCTAGTTGTTAACAGAGTAGGGATGACAATGGATAACCTAACATGTGGGTATCCATGGAGACCCAACCCAAATACTTGGGTTTCCCTTTTTTTCTTGTCCGTCGGTTAGGGTAAGTGATATTCTTTAAATCTTAACCGGGGATGGGTAGCCACTAATTTTTCTATATTTTTTTAGGTACATCGAAAAATAATTTCTCCATATGTTTTCACTACTCTGTTGACAATTAGAGTTCTAATTCTCACACTCTCTCATCCTCTCACTACAGCAATGACGATTTGCGATGACGATAATCTAGCGGTGACAAGATTGTGGCTATCGATCAAAAATGCGCAATTAATCATAACCAAAACATGGAAATTGAAGACAAAAATGTACAAAATTTTAATTAAGGTGATTGCTAGTTAAGATGAAAATTGAGAAATTCAATCTAAGGTTACCATCAAATCAGAGAGAAATCGAATAAAACAATTGCAGGAGATATTGAAACTAGAAAATTCATTCTATAAATGTAAATAAAATTTTTTAAAAAAAGAAGAAGAAGATGAAAACGAGAGTAATAACTCACCTTCAGATTATCGAAGATCAAATAATAGAGAGGAGAAGGAGATACATAAAATTAAAAAAATAAAATAAAAAAGAAGATGGAATTTTTTTGTAGGAATAGAATTTTTCTAAATAAATTTAAAAAATTCTAGATATACATAAAATTTGACAAGAATAATGTGACAATGTTAGTTAATGTGTATTTGATTTTTTTTGTTGAGCTAAATAAAATAAAAGAAAATAAGATCGAATATATATTTAGTTTTGGTTGTGAATCTTAAAAAAAAAAATGGTTGTGAACCTTAAAAAAAAAAAACAAAATTTAAAAAAAAAAAGAAAAGAAAAAAGATTGAATATATTTAGCTTTTGGTTGTGAATCTTAAAAATAAAAAAATAAAAAAAAAAAAATTTTTGGTTGTGAACCTTAAAAAGAAAAAGAAAAAAGATTGAATGTATATTTAGCTTTGGTTGTAAAAAAAAAAAAAAGAAAAAAAAAAAGAAAAAAAAGGGAAATTAGTGGGTACCCATCCCCGACCCATCCCTTGTGCATATTTAAAGAATATCACTTACCTTACCCGACGAATAAGAAAAAAGTAAAAAACCCATGTATTTGGGTTGGGTCTCCATAGACACCCACAGGGTAGGTTATCCATTGCCATTCCTAGGTGAAAGCTCTACTCGACAACCGTTGGTGGGGAAATATTTCTTCAAGATACCACTGTGAGTTCACAACCATCACTTGCAATGAAGCAGGAAGTGTCATTGGGATTGACCTCACCGGAGTCATCCTTGATGATTTGAATTGGTCTTCCTTGCCAAATCTCCAACGTCTTGTTTTCAGGTATTCTAACCTCACAGGAGTCATCCCTGATGAAATTGGTATTCTGTCAAGCCTCACCTACCTTGATCTTTCCTATAATAATCTCATTGGAAGTTTCCTAC